CTCAGACCTCTCCTGCCGCCCGCTGCTCCCCTCAGCAGTGTACTTCAGTCCTTCTGCCTGTTCTGCTCCCCGCTTTGGCTCTGGTGAATTCTCTCACCCTCCCGTGCTTCTGACTGTACCCAGTGCTTGTATAAATAAATAAATAAATTTTTAAAAAAATGCATCTGAATGATTATGTTAGATTGAAGTATAGGGGAAGGACCTCCTGCTGAGTTTCTGCCCCTGTCACTTTGTGGGCTGCTCACACTACTTGCGATGTATCATTTGTTGGACCTCAAATTTGATGTCATGTCTTTGCTCATGATTTAGCTAAAAGTAGAGGAAATGAAAAGGCAATACGTGTGGTTCACTGAATTGTCACTAAGATTGCTCAAAGTGTTATTCTAGGATTTGGAATAGGTCAATTTTTGTATTGTTAATATTTTTTTTTTTTTTAAATAGAGGCATGGTTTGTTTGTTTGTTTATTTATTTATTTATTTACTTGTTTGTTTGTTTATACATGCACTGGGTACAGTCAGAAGCGCGGGAGGGTGAGAGAATTCACCAGAGCCAGAGCGGGGAGCAGAGCAGGCAGAAGGACCAAAGTACACTGCTGAGGGGAGCAGCGGGCAGCAGGAGAGGTCTGCGTGCCATGTGGGACCCTCCTCTGGTGGCCGGGGAACAGCCGGGGATGGAACCGGCGCCGCAGAGGCCGTGGGCAGCTTCGCAACCCAGCGCTCAACCGCTGCGCCAGCGGGGAGGCCCTGTATTGTTAATATTTGTATTTATTCTAACCTTTACCCACTTCTACCCTAGTTTGAAGCAGTAGAAAAATTGACAAAAAGCAAAAGTAAGTATGTTTAAAACCTCACTAAAAAAAAAAAAAAAATGAAAATCTCAGAGCTTAACATGGCGGTTTATTTCTCTTTAGTATTTTTATTCCAAGTTACAGTGATTATAAGCCTTTACTATTATAAACATTCTAAATATTATTATTACTTTTATGGGAAATTAATACTTTAAATGACAAACTTTCTTTGTTATAGAATTAAATGTAACTTTTGCTTATCAAGGAGTTATTTTTCCCTATAAAAATATGTTGCATTTTTATGAAATGCAATAGTAAAATACAATACTATCAGAAATTTGCACTGAAATACCTCTGTATTTGAATAAAATGTATAACAAAAAGAATGAATTTCCATGATATTTATCATATCATATTTTAACATTTATTTCAAATAAGCATAACTACAAATCATATAGAATCATTCTCTTAAATAATGGAACAAGCAGAGATGTAGTTTTATATAAGCTTTAGGTAAAAGAAAGAAATAGGACATTTATCCATATTTTTTTCAGCCAGGGGTCTACCAGGTTTGGTGTATGTTATTCCACTCAACTTCTTACCAGTGAAAATTTCTGTTTGTAGGGACAAAACTCATTAAACAGCATGTGTGTATGTCCAAGGGTTTGTTTAACTTAAAGAGATACAATATCTACAAGTTTTCCAAACAAAAATGGCCAGTTCAAAGTTCTGTGACCAATGGCATGTAAACTGAAGCAATCAGTGCAAGCCTGGTGATGCTCTGTTAAAATGTCAAAGGTTACCATGCGTGGGCTTTAGAATTTGTTTAGAGAAATAGTAATAACCTTGACTCTTTTTCAGTGGAAGTACAAGTTTATTAATCTGAGACCCATCACCCACATTTTAATCATTAATATTTCCCTTGAGATTTAGGTAATCATTTTGCTGTAGGTGACTTGGTTCTTACAGTTAGGTGACCATACTTTATATTTGTCTTTTTTCATGCCTTAGCATTATAAATTGTTCTCTTTAGATTAACTCAATTTATTCAACTCAATGTCAGAAGGCCTAATACAGTTTATAGGGGTTTTCAAAGGTCCCTATGGAAACAACAGAATTAAACTTGATTGCTAAATTCAAGTTTAGGCTTTTTTTGTGTTTAGTTTCTTAGTTGCTGAAACAAAAACACATCTTCACTTTATTCTCTAAACCAGATATTTCACCTTTAATTGAAAATATCTTTTGTGCTATTGGTTAACCAAGTGATCTTTCAATGAAAACATGTCAGTGATAATTGATTGAGGCTGATTGAGGCATTGTTAATATTTGTATTTATTCTAACCTCTACCCACTTCTACCCTAGTTTGAAGCAAACTATCTCATTTAATAGGAGGAAATGGAAAAATGAATATATCTAAAGCAACTTTTTCTTTCTTTTTTTTTTTTTTTAAATAGAGGCATGCTTTATTTATTTGTTTGCTGGTTTGTTTGTTTGTTTTGTTTGTACATGCACTGGGTACAGTCAGAAGCGCGGGAGGGTGAGAGAATTCACCAGAGCCAGAGCAGGGAGCAGAGCAGGCAGAAGGACCGAAGTACACTGCTGAGGGGAGCAGCGGGCGGCAGGAGAGGTCTGCACGCCATGTGGGACCCTCCTCCGGTGGCCGGGGAGCAGCCGGGGATCGAACCGGCGCCGCAGAGGCCGCGCGCAGCCTCGCAACCCAGCACTCAACCGCTGCGCCACCGGGGAGGCCCTAAAGCAACTTTTTCTAAATCATTGTTACAATTGTACAATATACTATTCTGAAAATACAGACTGAAGATAGCAACGACATATGATCTTTTATAAAGACTAAATACTTAGGTTAGGGCCTCTCTGGTGCTGCAAGGGGTTAAGATGCAACCTGTGAAGCTATCCGCAGCCTCTGCGGCACGAGTTTGGTCCCAGGCCAGGGAGCAGCTAGACCTCTCCTGACTCATCCACTGCTCCCCTCAGTAGTGTATTTTAGTCAGTGTGCCTGTTCTGTTCCCCATTCTGTCTCTGGTGAATCCTCTCACCCCTCACACCTCTGGCCTATACTCCAGTTCTTGTATGCATAAATAAATAAATCTTTAAAAAAAAGACTAAATGCCTAAAGCAATAGGAATTACGTCTAATATTATTTCATCAGCTTCTACAAGATGCAAAAAAAGACGTGAGAAATGCAGGGTTTACATTTTTGCATAATTTATTATTTATTGAAAGGTACTTATAGAAATTAAATATTTTCTATATAAATGCTGCAGATAACATTTCTTCATGATGTCACACCATATACCTGTAAAATCTGATAGAATGAAAAAGGAATAGTAAAACATTTGCTATTCTGGATTGTTTCTGTCTGTTGTTTAGTTCTGTCTATGGCGCCCTAGAGGAGTCTAGGAGGTGGTGGGAACCAAGGTTGGGGTCTCTTCACTCTGTGCTCATCTCAATCCTGCATGGAGTGGGCTATGAGGGCCTCGTTCACTGGGGACCATGCCTGTGCCTGGAGCTGGTATTTGTGGTGGGTGGGATGAACGCTGAGAGGCTACAGCTGGAGAATAGCCTCTAGGTGACTATAGGGCAAGGATTTGGTGTCATATACCAGCTGACATAAAAAATAGTCTGCCCTCTGATTATTTCCTGAAACCACTGTGTTTTGAAACAGAATAGTGAGGGCCAGTGGATAATTACAGGCAACGAGAGTCTGAATGGTATTCGGCTGAACAGAGACTGTCTTGGAAACTTCTGTCCATATGAGAGACCATATCCAGCTTGGGGTGGCCCTGGAAAATAAAAAGAATGTAGAGTATGAACATAGTGCTATGCAAGAAGATAGAGAAAGGATGTATCCTGTCTTGTTCCAAAGAATGACCAGAGAGTAAAAGAAAAGAAAGGCTTGAGAACTAAAAGGAAATTTAATTTGGATGAATTAGAAAGTCCTGTAGCTGAAGGCCCCATATATTTGAAGTCCAAAATACATAAAGTATCTTGTGAACATGGTCAAACAGTGAAGACTCCTGGGAAAGGTAAAGTGGCTAGTCACCCTTCTGAATATTTGAATCCTAAGTTGACTCCTCTTGAGCCAAATGAGAAGAGGAGGGTCTCATACTTACTTTGGCTGCACAAAAGTTGTAGAGCAGAAAAGCCTCAAACCCTTCAGTATCTCAGAGCAGCTTAGAACTGTTTAAGGTGACCATGTACAGGATCCCAAAGCTGAAAACACAGATGCAAGAAAAACAGTTAGCTGTTCTGAATGTGAACAAGTAGACCCAAACAGGAACACAAAGAAAATTATGAAAATGGGGCAGGAACTGCAGGATTTACAGTCACCAGTGTGTATACAGCAGGTTGAGCAGCAGGGCAGAGTGGAGAACCAGGGAGGCCTTTCCAGGAAGAGGAACAACATCTCCAGGACCGGGAAAAAGATCTTGGAGGAGACCTGAAACAACAGCTGGCTCAAGATCTGCAGGAACATCATGCTCTGATGGAAGAACTAAATCACAGCCAGAAGGACTTTGAAACAATCATTTAAGCCAAGAACAAAGAATTGGAGAAGACCAAGGGAGAGAAGAAGAAGGCGCAAGCACAGAAGGAGACAGTTTTCAGTCACATGAATGACATGCTAGAAAATGAGCTCCAGTATATTATCTGTTCAGAATACTTCACTGATGCTGTCACCTTGAACTGTGTCCACAGTTTCTGTTTCAGAAGACAAGTCCCAAACTTACTCCCTGGTTCTGGACAATTTCATTAGTAAAGTGGTAGATGAGCTGAGCACAGAAGTAAAAGAAAGATGAATTTTTCTGAGTAGGGAACAAAAAGCAAAGAGACCATCCTGAAAATCATGCCCCAGTGGTATTTGAAAGATTGCCAGGCAATGGGAGATTGTGGTGGTCTGGAGGTTTCTCTCTGGACAAGTATTGGGATGTAGCGTGGGGCAGAGCCATGTGAGACAGAGAGTGAGTTGGAATTCCTGTCTTGAACCTTCCATGTCGACCAGTCCTGTTTCCACCATTATCTGAAGTACCACCAGTGCTCAGCACACTGAATGCTTTGGGGCACTCAATAAACTCTGTCTCACTACATTTAGAATGTGTTATATACTTTTGTTCTGCTTTTTAAATTTGTGTTGTTATTTGTGTTGCTATTGTTTTGGTACCTCAGGAGAACCTCTGTTGATTTGTTTTGGACAGGTTGGATGTAACCTTATGACTGCCCCAGAAAGCTAAGAGAGCACCTATTTGACAGGATGGCTTACCTCTTCTTTCTGTGAATAAGATGTCATATCCTGGAAAAAAAACGTAAGATTAAAAATGAAAAAAAAAAAAAGGCTATTCTATCAAATTAAAATGCTTAGTTTAGTGAAAATACAAACTGATACTATCTGGCTTATTTAGATTTACTTTGATGCTTCTTAGAAAAAAAATTATGGAATCAAACTAAGTAAAATTTATCCATTGAAGTGACAGTGTAATTCATGATCATGAATATAGTAAATAAATTCAATATCCAACTACCATCACCATCAACACCACCACAAAAACCTCATTTAATTGATGCTCAGTGTGCAAGCACATTTACTCAATGAACACCCCCTAAAGCTCATTCAGGTGTCCCTTTCCCAGTTTGATAGTGACAGGGCCTCAGTTTTCTTGAAAAGTTTTTAACGGAAAAAAACTTACCTTTTTACCCTAATGCATAACCAAACTATAACTACTATCATTCTCTCCTGTTATCATTCTTTTATATGCCACAAAAATAAAAAAAAATCTTTTTGTTGCAAGTATTGTATTTTATTGACATAATTATTTTATATGTAGTGCTTAGATATTTCAGTAGTAGTTGGTAGTCTTTCTGTTTTGTCATAGATATTTTAGGAATTTTATTTTATTTTTTATTTTTATTTTTTTAAAGATTTATTTATTTATTTATACAAGCACTGGATACAGTTAGAAGCTCGGGAGGGTGAGAGAATTCACCAGAGCCAGAGCAGGGAGCAGAACAGGCAGAAGGACTGACGTACACTGCTGAGGGGAGCAGCTGGCAGCAGGAGAGGTCTGCGCGCCATGTGGGACCCTCGCAGGTGGCCAGGGATCAAACTGGCGCTGCAGAGGCTGCAGGCAGCTTCGCAGCCCAGCGCTCAATCGCTGGGCCAGCAGGGGAGGCCCTATTTTAGATATTTTAATGAAGACTAGCATAATGGAAAAACCAGGCCAGTGACAATTGTGTTATATTAAGGGAAAAGTCATGTTTTCCCTAAAATTTTGATACATGCTTTTTGTTCACTGAAAACAAGTTTCTTGTTGACCCTCAGACAATGAATTTACTTTTATATCACTCTCTCATGTTCAATGATTTTCAAGAACATACCTGTGATGACAAATCTTTAGAAATTACAGATTTAACATTCACAGTTTTGATTATCTTCAAGCAGACCTGAAAGTCCTTTGCATACATAAATTTATAGTTATGTTGAGGCATATACTTTAATTGAGTATGTTGGAATATGGAGTGAGTCACTCACTTATTCTCTCATTCACAGAACAAATATTTACTGTACACTGGCTATATGCTAGTCAATCACCTAGGAGATTAGCCAGCCCCATATAAATTTCTATATTACTTTGTAGGTTCTATTTTTCATCATTTTGTGTAGTAACTCATAACTGTGGTATAATCAAATTCAGAGTTAAGAAGACAATTTAGGGCCTCCTTTGGTGGTACAGCGGTTCAGCGCTGGGCTGCGAAGCTGCCGGCAGCCTGTCTAGCGCCGGTTTGTTCCCCCGCCTCTGGGGAGGGTCCCGCATGGCGCGACAGACCTCTCCTGTCCGCCCGCTGCTCCTCTTAGCAGTGTATTTCCAGTCTGCCTGTTCTGTTCCCCGCTCTGGCTCTGGTGAATTCTGTCACCCGGGCATCTCTGGCCTGTACCTCAGCTCTTGTATGCATAAATAAATAAATCTTTAAAATTAAATAAATAAAATGCCATAGTTGCCTAATCTAAGATGCACATTTGTTTTATCTTTGTAACATTACTAAAATTAGAAAGCATCTTTATTGATATGTGTCAATATTGATATTTTTTTTTGGTGTCTCCTCCAAAAAGTTATTACTACATATCTATAATTGATGACACATGAAATTGGAGGAATAATGTAAATCAAATGGAATATGAATGATCACTTTTCATTTCAGTTTCATCAAAGATTGTATAATTAAAAATTAAATCAAATTAAGCAGAAATTTCTATGGAGTTTTTAAATTAATGAAACTGCAATAATAGTTCTTATTTCCCAAGATTTTATGTAGACATATAAATGTATAATCAATCACATGTCACTTACTGGATTTTATGAAAACATGTTAAAAACTACCTGTTGAAAATATTTACTGTTGACTTTAATTATTTAGCGGTGGTATACTGGGAACACGGCCTTTTAAGTATAATGCCCAGCACTCTGCAGACACTGAGTAAGGATTTGTGGAGTGATTGACTAAAATAATGAATAATTCAAAAAATCATACTATATTTCAAAATGAGCTTTTTTTTCTAAAAATCTTAAATAGGACATATGATTAAATTCTATGAATATATCTAAAAGTGAAATAAAAACAGAAAAACAGCAAATCCAGGTGGTCAGATTGAATCAGATATTTAACTTTCATTGTTTAAAGAAAATAACTAGTAGGAAAAGTTGAAAAAATTTATTGTATGTGCAAATGTATGTGATATTATGAGGTTACATTAAAAAAATGTTGATTTTGAGATACTGGTAATGTAACCAAAATGAAGGGGATTTTGAAAATGGCACTTACATCATGTTTCTTCTGAGAACATCTGACAATAATTTATTTTTATGAAATTGTATGGATTATGAAAAAGAAAAATGAATGTAAAAATTAAATAGATTTTTTAATTATATGTGATATTGTGGGTTTTTACATGTATCCTGCATTTATGAATAATCTAACATTTGCTAAAATTTAGGGGAATATAGATCAATGTTCAAAGCAAAATTTGGTTTAGTATACTGAAATTGTCATTCCACAATGTACATATTGGTATTTTATTTTGTGGGGACAGTTTATCTTTTGTTTGTGAGTACTTGGTAACTGTCCAGTATGGTAATGTCAATCCCAAAGATTTTGAGAAACTGCATATAAAATAAGGCGATCCTGAGACATTCTTTATTGTCATATTTAGATAGAAAGTAAAGATCTTTAGAGAAATGATCTTGCTTGTGATGTTTTGGAGAATGATAAAGTAAAAATGTTTAGCAGTGGGCCTTAATTTGTTAAAAATAAATTTCAGTAGTATTGAACACCAGAAAAAACTTGTGAATAGTATATAGTAGCCAATATCTCCTGCATTGGTAGCTATAAAACTAAGACAGAGAAGTAATTCACTACAAGGTTACTGCCTGTTAGTTGTAGAATAAATTAGCTGAACTGATGACAGTCCTGCTTTCATATTCATCATCTATCAGGATTCTGCTAGAGGCCTGGCAACTATTCTAGACACTTAGTATGCATATACAAAGTTAAATAAAAACAAAGTTAAATTTTCTAATGGTTTTTAAATTGTTTTCCTCTTAGGGATTCAGATTAATTTTGGCTGCTTTAACTTTGCATCCTAAGAGTTTGAAACCTTAACAAATGCTCCCTAGAGTAACCTGTGCCTACATCAGTAATGAAGAATAGGACATGCGTAAATGGGCGAGGGTAATCTGTGTTTTCTCTCCTTAAAGCATTTCCTGTGTTTAACAACTTGAATTTTTCATTCCTATTTGTTTACTTGTTTTTTTAACACCATAATTTGTACATAAACATGTACCTGTGTGCTTACAATATATAATAACAATATGTGTTATTAACAGCCAACATTCATTGAGTACTTGCTATGTGCCTGGTACTTTCTAGACCCTTAACATGCTTTAAATCTCAAAGTCTGGCAAAGTACTTCATATTCCTGATTTATAGTTGAGCAAACTGGGCATAAGGAAGTTAGGAAACATGTCTACAAAATAGTAAGTGTTAGAGGAAGGATCACACCCAAGGAGTCTGTGTGCATAGCTGCTTATATATAAAAGTGGCAACGGAAGAGCTTCATGTTCTCTTTGTATATATTGGGTTTTTGCCAGCAGGTTAGAGAGAGAAAGAACTCCTGTAAATGAAATATAATGTCTCTGAGATAATTTTTGGAACTTGTGTATAATATGGCACCCATTGCAATATTTCTAAGAAATTTCACATTGAAAGAAGTAAAGTGATCTTTCTAGGTGTTATAAAAACTGACTTCATAATCCCTAGTTTTACTTTACCACATTGTCCCTTGGAAATCTCTCCCCACTAATATAGTACAATGGGTGCAGCTGAACATGTGAGAACCAACACAATATTTTTTATCATTTCCCCAAATTAGATCACTTTTGTATTTAAGTTAGTGTTTATTTTATTGTATTTATCACTGGAACTTTTCAGAGCTATTTGACTGTCACCTGCCTTATAGAATGTTGGGATTCATTGCTGAGACTGTGCCCATGCATGAGAGCTCCTGGTTTCACAGCGGAAATGCAGCACTCAGCATTTCTCCTTCCAAAAACTGGGATACTCTCCGGAGGTCACTTTTTGTGTGGACTTTCTGTAATTCATTTGCCCAGAGTATACTTTTCAATGGACATAGTTCACTCTTTGTTGATTAGAGTTGTAAGGTATTTGTTATCTGCAAAGGTTTTGCAAATTATCTGTGGTAAAGGATTAAAGTGTAAACATCAGGTCATTTTGCCTTCAACATAATGCATGGTCTCATATTATAGTTTAAAATCTTTAAATTGATTCCTTATTTAATATATTGGAAGATTTCTACAAGATGCTTTGTTGTAGGTAGAAGAAATTAGCTATGGTCAGAGGTGATATTCAAGTTTAAGGGGGCATATATTTCTTCATATTAAAATTTAAAAGTACTCTGAATGAATGGAAGTGCATATTGCCTAGATCTCTAGTAATTATGGATTATTGTCTTGTATTACAGATTTCTAACCTTGTCTTTGGTTTTATTTTTTTAACTTTTCTTTTTCTATTTTCTTTCTTTTTTTTTAAGATTTATTTTATTTTTATGCATACAAGAACTGAGGTACAGGCCAGATGTGCAGGGCAGGGGGGAGGCAGTGAGAGGATTCACCAGAGACAGAGTGGGGAACAGAACAGGCAGGTTGACTGAAATACACAGCTGAGGGGAGCAGCAGGCGAGTCAGGAGAGGTCTGCTGCGCCATGTGAGTTTCTCCCTGGCTGGGCATTGAACTT